GTAGGCTAGCTCACTGCACTCACATTCCCTACCATATGTATGACTTTTCTTCTTAAAGGTGTTGCAAAATGAGATATTGCATTCTTTGCAAATTAATGATCTGAGTACCCATCAGGCCGTTCCTCATCAGTTGTCTTCCAGAACTCTTGTTTTCAATGGTCTTATCTCCTTCTTAAAAATCAGCCCTGCCTTTTTCTTTCACAAAGATGAACTTTTCTGCAGGTTAAAAAAGAGAAAGAAGAAAACAAAAACAAAAGACTTGCTAGCTTCTCTACATACATAGCATAGAGTAGGCATGGTAAAACAAGTTTTATTTTGTTTCAGTTTGTTTATTTTTATCTACCATCTTTTTAGCAAGATTTGTGTTTCATGTTGTAGCAAGCTATTTTCTGATCCTTGAGAACTTTTCCATTCTAGGTATGGAGCACAGAGGATCACCTCCATACATGGTTGGTCTTCTTGTCTTTCTCAATTTTCTTTTTTCAGATGCACAGAGTGCTCCAAGGGTAATGCATCAAAACAAAGCAGGTATCAGTGACGGCCTCATCTGAAGATACCACGGGCAGAATTACTGACACAGACAGGATCTGGTTTTGTTCCAGAGTTGTAAAGAAGCTGCTGTGGGAAAAGCTTTCAGTTTTCACCACAACAAAGCTATCACTGGAACTGCTTATTATTTGTATTACCAATTAATCTTATATCTATGTACAAAATTCAAAGAAAATAGTTACAATTCAGTATTCTGCAAAATAATTGATGACAGAAGCATACCTGAATGTATTTATTTAGGTTAAATTGTGCCATGGGAATGGTTGGAAATTATAGGTTATTTGAAAGCAAAAGCAAAGCAAATGATATTGTAAGGAAGGATTGTAATAAACTAGTCAGTTGTGTATATACATTGCAGGTTTGTAATTTGTGAGCATGTGAGTGGAAGCCCTGTGTAAAATAGGGTTGTGCTGTTAAGCATCTGTTTCAGGGCATGCACACAAAATTAGAGATTACTGGTCTCGTCATTTTGTGATGCAAGTGAATAATTCTGTGCTCTGCCCCTTATTGTGCTCGAATTGGAGCTGATGCCTCTTCAGCAGCACTGTGGCTCTTTTTTGCATTCAGTGCCTGTGCAGTTCTGAAGCAGCCTGCAGGCTGTCTATTGTAGTTAGCATCGCACAGCACTTGGGGCTCAGTTTGGAACAGCTTATGCATTAAAGAGACACTTCCCTTATTTTTCTGAATGTTTATGTTGCTGTTCTGTGTGGCTGTTTGTGAACTTTGTTTGGTTTTATATTACTTTTTAAAGAAAACATTTTCAACCTACTAGTTAGTAACCTTTTCTTTGCACTTCATGCATCCGATCAGATTCCATAGTGTGCATGCCTCTGTGTAGTTCACAAAATAAATTATATAGTACATTGTCATGCCTGTCTGCTGTTTTCTGGAATTTGTCTAAGGCTTATAGCTTCAAAGGTATGCGTAGGCTTCTCTTTTGTGTTCAGAGGGTGCGACTAAACTATTGTGGCTGGCATTGCAGTGGAAGAGTTGTGAAGCTCGTCTTTTGTTTTAATCTTTAAGTGCCTTAGGAGTCATCCATAAAGGATATCCCAGCAGGGGAATTGAGGTCTTGTGGACAGTTGGTGGAGGGGGCAGACTAAAAATTCTGGAAAAATCTGCTGATCTCTTTTCAGGATTTCCACTTTTGTTCCCTTTGGCTAAAATAAGTCTTTGAAAACGGTGCTGTGGAAGTGGGTAAATGAAAGAGAACTACATGGGGCTAAGGAATGGCGACGTTCTTTTGGGAGTTCAAGGCATTTATGCAGTTTGAGAAAGAGAGTGGGGAGCTCGGTATTTGATAAAATCTACTGGAGCCCTCTAATTTGTTGGAAATAAAAAAGGAAAAATGGAAAAAAATTTAGGTTATTCCCTTGTTTAATTTGCTAGACTGGCACTAATTCTGCAGTTCACTTACTGTACTAGTTAATTTCAATATCCACTCTGCATTCTTGATTTCAACAGGGGAGAAGGTGGATGCTGAGGGCAAAAGGGTACTGGATTGGAGGGGGTTGGAGTGGAGCTTCACAGCAAATTGTGCAAACCCTTTTCATAGCTGTAGCTGAATAAACTGCATGCAATTTTTTTTCTTTTCCATGAGGTTTTTAATTGTGGAATTATTTTGATACTGACGTGAAGCTTCAAGGATTTTTTCTCTTAAAAATTTTATAAAACTGGATGGAGATGCTTACACAGAAAGGTGAAACTTTCAGACACGAAAAAAATAACTTAGAGAGTCTCTTCTGACAGGTTCTAATTTCAAAATTCCTGTTTGCTGCAAGGTTATTGAAATTTACAGCAGGGCAGAAAGTGGCTGCTCTAGAGATACTGTCAGCCTGTAGCTCCCGTTTTTCATTTGTGCACTGTTCCAAATGTAAAGTGAAATACGGTTTTCCTTAAAATCCTTTCCTTACTATATAACCTGCTTCTTAAGAAGGAATCACAAAAGTGCTTCCATTTCTGGCACTGATGTATCTTTAACAGTGTTGATGAAATTTCCCAAAACAATTACACAAGTCCCCTTTCCTGTCAGAATCCCAACAGAACGTGTCCTCCTGTGTGGCTGTCAGAAGGAGGCCTGCATCTCTATCTGTGTGCAAGCACACAGCGTGCAGAGGGGTGTTTCAATGTTTTGTATAGTGTTTTGAATAAAAACTAGTTCAGTTGAGTAGCTTAGCTCTCTTCCATGGGAACATTTGTTTTACGCAACAGAATTCCCTCTTACAGTCATCTCTTTTCAGAGAGGTTCTTTTAATATTTGCCCATGGTGTACCACCAACTGCAGTGCTTGCTAAATGGTCAAGAAGGGAAAGTACCTGTTCTAAGCAGAATACAATCTCAGATAGATAGACAGAAAGACAGATAATATAAATGGAAATGTATAACGAATACAGAGGAAGAAAGGTTTTGCTGGCACAAGGGGGAGGATAGATACTTCAGCATAGCAAAGTCGTATTTTAATCACTCGGAGGAGCAACAACAGGTTGCATTATGGCAGATCTTTTATTTAATGCTTGTGGGTTGGTGGTTTTTTTTTTGTTATGTGACTGCCATAAAAAGTATTTATATGTTTGTGCATAAGAAACTGCTTACTTTCCATATAATATGTTGGTTGTCCTTTCACATTGAAAGAAGCTGGGTTTATTTCAAAACTCTAAATCTCACGCCAGTCTAAAACCTGCCCAAATGGCATTTATACTGGAGACTTGTTTGACAGGGGTTCTTTGTGAAGGAGCAAATGTGCAGCAGTCTCCCTGCAGTACAGTTAAACTTTCTGTGCATAAATCATTTTAGTAGATTGGGCCAGCAGAGGATTGCTCATAGTGCATTGTGTGTGATTTAATATTAGGCTATATGCAATGCTGGAACTTAATTCCAAATCCCTAACATGGTGTAACGTATCAAAGATCTAGTCCAAACTGTGCTTTAGCACCTAGAAGACTGGCGGTATCGATGCTGAAGTGCTTTGAAGCAATTGAAAATCTTTTGTGTTTCTTTTAAAAGATAATTATTGTAAAAGCTTCTTAAATTGGGCAAATTCCTTGCCCAGGATCAGGCCTTCTTTGCTGTGGGATTCATAGCTTGTTTCCTGGGGAAGGGGCTGGGCTGATGAGTATTTCTCCCTTCTTCCAGACCATTTTGTGTAAATAAAAAGGATGTCAATTACTTATTTCTTTAAAACTGAGCAAAATGCGGTACTTGAGAGAGAGTAATTCAGATTTTACTTCAAAACAAACAAACAAAAAACCAACCGATTAATTGGAAGCTGGAAATCTAAAACATCTTTGAGAAATCAGGCTGGACCTACATAAGTTCTGTAAGATAAAACCATTTCTGTGTTCTTAACTGAAACGTACTGAAGTTGTATAAAGACTTCACTTAGTCTATCTTCTCCATATGCGAGGTAATTTTGGTGGGAGATACAAGACATGATTCATTTTAGTTCTGTAGGTTGTTAGACTTTAAAGATTATTAAATACATGAAATGGACTCTGTGCTTTGTTTGTCATCTCTTTACAGAGACTACCTGAAAATTAGACTGCAATTAAAAAAAACAAAAAACAAGCCTCTTTTTGGGCTTGGTCTTTGGCTGGTGTAGATTGTTATAGTTGCTCACATCTTAAAACTTGTAGGATTTACAGTAGTCATAAATAGTTTCTAAGAGGCTTATAAACAACTTTTAAATCCTTTCATCTAGTAACACTAAGGTGAATTGGCTGAAGTCTCGGTAAGATTAACTCCCATTGTCTTAATAACTGTACAGTCATGGACTAGTGATTGATTTTCTGAGACTGTGGGACAGAGAGATCATTGACATTTGCTTGTTCTTCCTGTTCTCTGCGAGACTGTATGACACCCTTCACAAATCGGCGTGCTACAAGTCTACAGACTCTTATTTTTTCCTGGATTATCAACTGGACCAAGCTAAGTGTCCTTTCTTCTCCAAACTAAACCAAGTCACCTCACATTCTGAAGAAAGGGAAAGGTCAAGTGGGTCATAGAGCAAACCCAAGGTTTACATTTTATCTTCTGGAAGCACTGAGTTGCTTCTCAGTGAATGCCAGTGTTGCTTAGTCCTTTGATGGAAGTGGCACAGACCAGGTCAGTTGGCTGCTTGATGAACAGGAGAACTCCCATAGCAAAGAAGGGCTGTGTACCCAAGAATTCTTACTGTTCCTGATACAAGCATTCAACCTTTAGAAATACATGTTTGTGTGACTATTGTTATTGAGTTTTTTTTTTCCACTTACATTCCTTTTAATCTCTGTATTATTGCTGAGATTCGTTAAAAAAATAATACCCAAAACCAAAACAAAAAAACAAGTTCCTAAAAATAATTAGGAAAAAAAAAAAAAAGCATAGTATTTAATCTTTCTTTTAATGCTTTTTTCCCTCCTCTTTCCTTTACTCAGTGTACATTATTTTTTTTTCTCTATGCTTATTTCTTTTAGGTAAAATTCACAAGTTGACTTACAGCTCTTTATTCATTTTTAAGCAAAATCATCCTTGGAAAACAGTAGGCCCAGGTCAGTATTTTAGTATTCTTTCTTTTTTTTTTCTTTTTCTTCAATATATATAAAAATAAAATCCTTTAAATCTTTTACATTTTCAGTCTGGAAAATGTCATGTTTTTTGTTTTATTCTAACTAAGCTCTGTAATGTTCTAGAGAAAACAGAGAAATATGGAAGTTCAAAAGTGAGGTTAAGCTATATATGCTTAAGAATAATGCTTCTAAAAGAGGGCACTTTTAAGAATTAAGTGCAATGATTCAGCAAAACCTCTATGCTCTGTATTTATGTATGTGAGAAATCAGGCTTGATTCCTAGGTTCTTATTCATGTGAATTTCTTATTCCTATGAAAGAAGTAAAGGTGTTTTCAGCTATGCTTCTCTGTTGGTGATATTTTCAGAAATCTTATGGGCTTTATGAAATTTTTCTCCTTTGGAATATCAGGTTCTTATAGTATGTGCCACAGGCTGTTTTCTCCTCTGGCAATGAGATGCATTCAAAGGGGAGGAAAGAAATCTTCAACCTAATGCAGTGGTTGTGTCGTCTGGCTGTTTTCATTAAGAAAATGCTTTTGTTTGGAACTCTGTTCTGCACTGTTAAGGATGGCTTTGTGTGTAGCTGATATGCATTTTGATATATACATTTTAAGGGATAATTTGATTATCACACCATCTTTTAGTCTATTTCCCTTCACTGCTAGCTCAAGTGTAGAGCATCTGTGACATGTCCATATTTACACCGTTGCACTGCAGGGACACTGACAGGTTGAAGCAAGGAAATGCATTTGATCTTGTGTGAGAGCTGCTTTCTTGTACTGACCTGGCTTCTTTGTCCTTTTGTAGGTGTTTTTGTAGGATTTCTAATGTCTATTCATCCTTCTATTATATGTATTGTATATGTTTAATAAGAACATAGCAAATCTTTGGAAGGTATGTATAAAAAAGAAACTGAAAACTTATTTTAAAAATAGAAGTTCTGAACAGAATCAATGTATATACAATACACACTCGTAGGAATACAGTATTTACACAGTCTGCATCTGTAAACAAAAAGTGAAGAGTACATTGCTCTGTAATTGCACTGGTCTAAATAACCACTTAACATTGCGGAGTTTTAATTGCTAAACTGCAGCTGAGAACCTGTAAAGCAAACAGAGCTATTCTCAGGGGACTAGACATATTTCAGTTGAATGGTGCCCTGTGAAGGAAGCAGCTGCTCACCTCTAATAAAACCCCTGGTTTTGCCATTGTGATTTTAGTATTTCCAGCCAAATTAGCTATAAATGTATACAGTTAGGTCCAGACTCAATAGAAATCCTTTCACTGAGGACATCGTACCTTTTTGAACCTAGACAGCTGGCACATCACTGTAGGATTACTGTGCTTTCATGAATTTGGTATGAATGGGAAAGGGAGATGTAACCTATGAAATAATTGTAAGAAAGTTTCTGCTGCACTTCACACAAGATACAGTTAGGAGAGTACAGCAGTGAGGATGGTACAGGTAGATATGCTGAGTATTATTCTATAGGTGTGAACAACACTGTAGCATCCCTAGCAGGACAAGCATGTGCTCTTCATGGAATTCTTAGACACCTCTAAATAAAGCTCGTTGTCTTTTTGTTCTTAAAAGTTTTTCATAAGGTATTTGGGAGGTGATAGTTCATTTGTTGAGAGCTGTAGCCAGCTATGCTTGTGTCCCTGTGATCACTAGAGTTCATCTGCATGGGTTTGATTGCAATAAATTAAACAGTTCTAATGTTTGTCCTGTAACTGACGCTACCTGGAAGCAGACTGAGTTCGATCAAATTTGAAACCTGCATGAAGTTCAGCTGTGTTGCCTGTAAGGTGCTCTGAAACCTTCAGTCCTCTCTGTGAAATAAGCTGTTACTGACTTTGTTATAACTGAAAATCTAATAGAATCATAGAATTGTTTGAGATAGAAGGTACATTTAAAGATCATCTAGTCCTACTCCCCTGCAATGAGCAGCTCCATCAGGGTTTCTCAGAGCCCCATCTAGCCTGACCTTGAATGTCAGGAATGGGGCATCCACCACCTGTCTGGGCAACCTGTTCCCGTGCTTCACTATCCTTATTAAAAAAAAAAAAAAAAAGCAACAAAAAAAACAATGAAAAAGCCCTTTTTCTTATATCCAATCAAAATCTCCCCTCTTTTAGTTTGAGACTATTTCCCTTCGTCCTGTCATGACAGACATTTCTTTCTTATAGCCCCCTTTTTGTCTGAAAGGCAGCTATCAGGTCTTCCCACAGCCTTCTTCAGGCTAAACAGCCCTAGCTCTCAGCCTATATCTCAGCAGCACAAGCAGACAACTTAAAATAAATAAATAAATAATAATTAAAAAAAAAATCAAAGTCACAGGGGTCAAGTTGGGACCAAAACTTTCTATAAAATTAATCGCTCCATCATCTCTCATTACAACAAAATACACGTTATCTGGAATGCTGAAACTAGACAGATGCAAGGCAGTCTAATATCTGTAGTATTGTAGTTGTGCTATAATTTTAGGGACCTTTATAGAACAGACAATTCTGTGCTGGTGGAAGGTAATGCCTCTTTTTGTAGGAAGCTGATAGGAAAACAACATTTTAAAACAAACTCCAGAAGCCTTTGAGGCTGTCTTGAATTTCCTCTCATCATTTATATATATATAGTATTTTTATTTTGCATACTGGAGAGCTAATCCTTAGACTGTAAGTCAAATGTATCTTTAGTTTAGTTAAAATAAGGATTAATCTGCTTAGAGAAAGCTAGGCATGGATAAGAATATATGGGTTTATTCAGGGATGCTTGTGAATCTGCAGGCCATCCTTCTGTATTTGGAGCTGGATGTCTTTAATTCTCTGAAAACAGCTTGCAGCAATGTTCTCATTTTTAGTATGGGCAGTGACCGTGCTGTATTCCTGACCTTTGCATCAGCTGCCCAGAAAGTGCTTGATAACTATTGAGAGAGCCTTTGGGCACTTACAGTCCTTAACTGTGTAGGCACTGAATATGCTTGAAAGTCCCTTCTACATTTTCCATTTAGTTTTTTTTATTTGTTCTCTGAATCCACTTATTCCTGGGCAACCTGATCTAGCTGTGCATGTCCCTGTTCACTGCAGGAGAGTTGGACTGGATGACCTTCAAAGGTCCCTTCCAACTCATAGATTCCTTAAATTCTGGGATTCTATTCTATGATTTCTTTTGCTTTTTAATTGAGAGGTAATTGCATGTTGACACCGTGGTACATTTCCCCTCCTGTAGATCACAGTTCTTTTTTTCCAGTACTGTGGTACTCATTGTCCCCAGCTTCATTTTCAGAATGATCTCTGCTCCATTATACTTTTTTGTTTTAGTCAGATCCTTCTGTATTTTTCAATGACTAAGTATGAACAGATTTAATTGGCTATGTAAATGCCTTTTTATGTTTAACTTATACTCTTACTGCTTTTTTGAACTGTTTCGTGTTTTTGTGTCAGACCTTAGAGGCATAGTGGTAATATACTCCTTCTGATTTAGCTTATTTGGTTAGTGTTGGGGCTATGAAAGATATATACATATATTATTCTGTCGTGAAGTCTAATAGCATTCCGTGCACTGTGTAAGGGTGAGTGCATTGTACCTTAAATCAATATATCACTATGATCTAATGTGCCTCTTCATATTTCAGCCTCGCTTCTTTACCAGTCCTGGCACTGGCTATCCTTGTTGTGATAAGATCTATGGGCACTGTTCACAGTCCAAACGTGGAAGGAAAGGGTTCTTCTGGGCACAGCTGTTTTTGTGTGTGTGGTGGTGTTCTGTTTCATTTTTGTTTTGCTTCTTTTTACAACATTGTTTCCATCTATGCTTTCAGATATAGGCCAAAAGAACTCTGAAATTCAGCAAGGTGCAATTTTGAGGTCTAAGTAGCTCTATCTTTTTTCAAAACTTCATTAGTGTATGTGCTTATGAATGCTTTAGAGACTGGAGTTTTAGTACTGGCTTTGACTGTAGTCTAATGAGAACAGTTTTAAAATCTGGTTTTATAAATCTAAGAATTTCACAGTTGCTGGTCTGTAAAAAGAAAGCTGTGAAGACAATGCTTTCTCATAAACAGTTCACCGGCATGTGTATTTTGTTGTAATGAAAGATGATGGAGTTATTAATTTTACTGAAAGTTTTGGTCTGAATTTGACCCCTGTGACTTTGATTTATTTATTTATTTTGAAGTTCTCTGCTTGTGCTGGAATTTACCACGCTGTCTCTGCGTTAGTGTGATTTCATGCACTGGAGTAAAGGTCATCTGTATTTCATCAAGTCTGATCTGGTTTTGATTGCACCAGACAATTTTGAAGAACATGGTAAGCTAGGGTGCGTACTACCCACACCTTGCTTTTCTAGTTAGAAAACACATATGCATTTGTTTTGCATTATTTCTTACTGGTAAATGGGCACTTTGTAAAATCCCACCTGAGGGCATGGCACCTCCAAAAAGGACTGTGTCAAGGTTAGTCATAATGAGGAAAATATGCAAATTCAAATTAAAAATATTTTCTTAATCGAGGATGCGTAAATTATTCCCTGTGGACATTTAAGTGACAATAAATTTCACATGGCTGGGAATTAACATGTCCCACTTATATTACTTCACACTTTAATTTAAAAAAAAAAAAAGAAAAAAGCCATATTTATTTAAATGACTTCCGCCGCTTCATGTAGCTTCTGAAAAGAGATCCAACAATTATTTTGAGGCCTAAATTTGAGTAATTTATAGAAGAAGTGTATGCACTTGCATACTGGAAAAGGTTTTGCATTGAACATATCTTAAAAAATACCAGACTAGAATCATACCAAAAAAAGTTTGACTAATTGTAATCGACTGTAACAACGCCAGCATTTGACACCTAACTGTAGAGTGCTGGCAAGCTTTCTCTGTGTCTGGATGTTTGAAGCTGTGGCTGCATCCATGTTAAACCCACGCAACGACCAGGCAATATAGTGCACCAGCATTATGTCTTCCTGCCCTCCTTTCAGGGCTCTTTGTCCCTGACAGCTGTGTGGCTGCTTCCGCAGACAGAGCTGCTCTGTGCGTTCTATCCAGGGGCGAGAGGGTGAGAAGAAAGCTGGAGCTGAACTGTGAAGTTTCAAGAGAGACCAAGGACCTGGGAATAGGTGGGATGGAGTGAAGATTTGTGGGGAGGCCTGGTGCTCCTGGCTGCCCCCTGCAGTTGCCTTTTCACAATCGGTCAGATTTTTGTAAGAAAAGCACTTGATGAAAATGGTTTTTTTATACGTTCTGCGTACATTCTCCTTCTTAGCTAAGCAGGTTTGAATGTCCAAGGGTTTCTGCAGGCTTTTACTGAATGCAAACTGAGCACTAATTTGTATCTAATCATTATTTTTTTTTATCCCTTAGAGGTACTTGTAATCCTTAGGATGCCACACAAGCTCGGATTCTCTCAATGAAAATCATTTACAATGGGATTTCAAAAGTACTCAGTCTAACCCTGCTTTCTTAGAAATCAATTGTTAAGGTCCATGCGACTTCGCTGGGAGTAGTTATGCCAACACTGAGAGCTTAGAAAATGCCTCCCTAAACTGTAGATGAGAATATACATTGGAGAATGTTGCAACCTAATTTTTCTACTGAGCTTATGATTGTAGTAACTGAGTGCCCTAGATTTAGTACTGTATCTATTTGATGATGTCATTTCATCACCTTATCTGAATTTGGCACTGTCATTCATATTTATATAGCGTTTATTCTTTGTATTTCTCTTTGGTCCTTGTATTTTTACTGTGTTAGTCGTATCAGTCCTACACCTGTACCCACACAGACATTTAGGTTGCTCTTTATGCTAGCTATTTCAATATGCAAAGGCATAAGACATTTTCATTTATATACATACACACTTGTGTGTCTGTATACTTGCTGCCTGAACATGTTTAGGGACAAAGTGATTGTGGACTAAACTGAGATGTTGTTTTGATTTGTATGTTTATATTTTTTCTTCAAAACACCTGAATAAATAATTTAAAGGACACTTTAAATGTTGGTATGTTCAATTATTCAGTTGTGATTCTAACGTTAGAAATAGTAAAGTATGACAGGTTTTAAAGAATATTTCAGAAATTTAATCTGGAGGTAACAGCTTTATTACTGCATGGTGACTTGACCCATATTTCCTAATGTGATTTCCCTGCTGTAACTCGAATTGAGTTCATGTAAGTCTAATGATATCAGTTGACCTTGAGAGCTAGACCTAAAAACCTGGGGTTTCCTGTTTATTTTGTTGTTGTTCTTTGTTGGTTTTTTTAAAATTATTTTTCAGATTCAGACTTGTTTTTTTTGTTTTTTTTTGTTTTGTTTTGTTTTGGTTTTTTCTTTTAGATTTTGATTGTTTTCAAATGATGAATACCAAGAATTCTACCAAGGAAGTATAACTCATTTTAGTAACAAGAATTTTTACAATTTCTTTGAATCTTTTGATCAAGTTTATCTTTAGTTTCACAGTGACACCTCTCCCTGGCATAAATCCTTAATAATTCACACCTGTGTAGCAGAGAGATGGTGCTAATTATATGCCTATGTAAAAAATGGTTATCAAATACTTTTGGCTCCGTTAGTGGCCCTGTGATGATTTTACTGTTGCTATTATTAACCTCCACTTCCGACTTTAAATGATTGATTTAGTCATTTAAAAATCACCTACAAATAAATATTTGTCCTCTTTCATCAAGTAGGATTTCCAACCAAAATACATGGTTTGATACCTGGGATAAATGTTGGTAGTAGTGATTAGAGGTGAGTCAGATATTTTAATGTCTGCAAGGTTAGAAACTTTAAGCTTCTACGTAATAATGTGAAGGGGACACTACCAGCTTTGCAGTGGGCATGCCACTTTCAGCTCTTAAGACTTGTATTGAGCCCTTTAAGAACCAACTGAAAACCACCTCATTACTATGCATAGAAAAACTACTTTAATCACTTTGAGATTTCTAAAATGTATTTGTTAAAATCTTTCTTTCATTCTGAGGCTGATATCATTTGACTGAGGGCACTGAGGGAGCCTGACTTGAGAGGTATTGGGACATGAAAATATTGGAAATTCTTAAAAGCAGTGTTTAAAATAGCTTTTCTGTAAATGGTTTGGTTCATGCAGAAATGTGATCATCTTGTGCTGCAGTTTGGCATGCACCTGATGAATATGAACAAATTCACAGATGACTTCACCTTTTGTGAGTAATGTGACCATATTCAATTTGTCATAACAACTTTTCTAGCATCACGATTTCTTCCCTTCTCTTTTTGTGCCTTCCAATAGTTGTAAATGAGAGATATGGAACTACTGGAGATATTCCAGCAAAGGGCTATTGAGATGATGAAGGGCTGGAGCATCTCACCAATGAGCAAAGGAAGTTGATTTAAACACAAAAAAATAAATCAGGATTTTTATTTTTTCTAAAATAGTTTAAAATGTTAGTTTTACCTTGTTGTTTCCTTTACTTACACCTGATCATGATGTTGGAGGTATTTCGAATAAGAAGGGAGCCCTGTGTTTGTCTGTTACTGAGAATGGATGATTGGCAGCCCTGTGTTATATAGATCTTGAGGAAGTTGTCTAGGAAATTCGGCTCTTTATTGGAAGGCAGAGATGAGTGTGAAAATGTTGAGTGCCCTGGTTTTTACTGGGAATACAGGGATATTTCCTTTTGCTGAACAAGTAACAATCGCAGCATAGAATAAATTTAATTCATTGCATTATTTTCATAATGCTGTTTTTATTAGAGATGCGGGTTAAAAATGAAGATAAATGGCATAAAATATGTATTTCTCCTTTCACTGAAATCTTATTTTAGTATTTAAGAAGTATCTGAAAGAGGAGGAAGTATTTTTGCTCATTAGAGACTTCAATTATTCTTTTACTTCAGTTAGATAAATCAATTTCTAGATTTTGGCTTGGAAACTATAAAAGATTTCTTTTAAATACTAGAATAGAAATAGAAGACATGGGAAAAAGTCACAATGACAAATTCTCTCAGCTGAACAAAAACAAACTGAAAATTACTAGCTGGAACACTGGTGTGATGCATGTGATAGCAACATTTCTTTTTCTTAAATTCAGGGCAACGCATCTTGGCTTTGTATTTTTAAAATTTTGCATATTCAAAAAGTTTGTTTACTTCCCAACCAAGGGAAGTAAAGCATGCAACAACTCGGAGAAAAGTAGCTAGTGGTTGCTAATTATTTGTAAATTTGTTTTTTCGTTTTCAGTTAATAAGTGGCACAGAGTTATGTGGGTAGTGGGCAGAGCTGCTGTGAGGCTTGTGAAATGTTAATACTGTCTTCAAAAATATTTTGATGGATATTAATATTAAAACAGCATTTGAAAATGAGGTAATATTTCAACATAGCTGGCTCATGTAGTTTGATCACCTGATCCAGACTTTTTGTATCCTTGCCCTTGCTGGGCTAGAATATGAAATTAAGCATTCAGATCTGGAAACCCCAATCTCTAGAGAATTTTGCTTTTTTGGAAAAGGTAACTCTGTCAGCACAATGGAACCATCTCGTGTTGCTGGAACAAAAGACATTTCTGGGAGGCATTTCAATGAAGGTATGAAACTGTAGAGGCCACATAGATAGAAGGAGAACAGAAAAGAGATAAGGAGGAACCTGGGTGAAAAAATGTTAGAGAAAGAGTGGCCCAGACCCATTATTTTGTGCTAACTTAGGTTAAGTAAGCGTACACTTAAAAACACTTAAAAAATGTGTGAAACACTTAAAAAAATGTTAAGGTATTAGTATTGAAATGAAGATGGCGTCTGCTGACTTGCAACATTTTTGTGTGCAAAGCTATTCTTTTTCTAATTCAGTTTCTGCATGATTCTAGTAGTTTAAGAATGTTTTAACATAAACTAAACATCTTCGAACTGAAACTCATTAAACTGTGTTTCGCTCCTTACGTGGGGTCTCACTGACAGTATTTTTTACATTTAGAAGGGTGATTTTTGTTTTTATCTGCTACGTAATTCACGTTGTTGATGCAACTACGGTGTGTGCTGGTTTAGCTTCTACAGTTAACACTCCTTTTCATTTCCAGTTGCTGGAATTATTACAGCTGATTTTGCCCCAGGCACAGTTCACTGGGGAGCTGGTACCTGGGGTTCCACTGATATCCCTGTCACTGGCAAGGTAAGGAGAGACTGACTTGAATTTGCTATGAGTAGCAGACTAGAAATAAATCATTTTAATATGCTTTCTGAAGATAAAAAATAAGGTGGGGCAGTGAGTGTCTTGCTGATTATTTATACGCATGCTGGCAGTATCTAGGAAAAGTGACCATGGTTCTTGAAATAATATTCTTTCTTACTGATGTGCTTAAACACTGAAGGAGCTAACCTATTTCAAAGAGAGTATTTTCTATATCCCAAATCAAAATGACTTCTTTTCCCTTGGAAAAAAAGAGCCCTGCTAAATGAATATCTGTTCTAAAAAGCCTGCTATAAGAATATGAAACTATAGGGCTTTTTAGCTTCTTCTCTGTTCAACAGGTTTCTTATGTGGAACCTCAAGCTCAGTTCATAAAAATCTGGTGTCTGGTATATCTGTAGCTATATAAGATGCTTACTCTGATGAGATTAAACCAATAAAATGCTTTTCAGAAGTGCTTCTTAACTCATTTTATTATAATAGCATGGAAGGAATTATATAGCTGAATGACATTTGTTTGGTTAGTCATTTAATGTGAGCATCATTCAAAAGAAGCCAGCACTGAGAATAAGCTCTTACTAAATAAGACTCCGTTTTGGCAAGTCTGCACTTTCTGTCTGAATACTACTGAAATAAATTATTTCCTTGCAACAATGCCATATTTAGCACACTAATAAAAGAGAGGAAGGAAAGTGGATCTTTGATAAGCTAATTATTTTTGGAACTTGCTTCAGAGTTTAGTAAATCAGCATGCTGCATCTGCAGTGCTAACTAAACTAATCTAAAATACTTTCCTCCCTGTGGAGGTATAGAAATGTCATAGTCCATGGAGACCTGCACTGCATTTATGCAGGTCTGCCTTTTCTGTCATAGATTCAACAGACCTTTCCAGAGAAGAGCTACGGTACTTTAAACCACCTTTACATCGGATTTAAAGAGATTAATGAATATCAGACTTGTACTAAATAAATCTTTATCACTTGCTTTACCTACTACAATAATTGCTTCAGTGCAGTGGAACACATTCAGTCTGCCAGCTTGCCATTAATCTCAAATACATCTTCAACAAAAGAATCTACTTTATCTTCATTTATGTGTGGGTGCACATGTGCGTGCCAGCTCTGGCCCATAATCAGGTCATCAAAATGGCATATTTTAATCCCTTTTCATGTATGAATGTTACATGTTCATGTATGAGACTTTTTTTTTTTTTAACTTTTTTTAAAGGGCTCCAAAATCTGTGTTGTCAGAAATATGTATGAATTCTTTTCAATGAATAAAATGTATTAATGAATATGAGGGCCAAGACTATAGCATGCAAGGTTTATGCAAACAAATAGTATTGCTTCCTCCCCCCAGTAGGAATAATTTGGGTCGTGCCATAGATAGTTACATGTTTATTTGTATGTGTGTATGATGGAGAGGGCTTCTTTCTTATTATAGCTTCAAAACTGATTTATTCTTACAGGCATGACAAAAAACATCTTTCAACATAGCTATCATGTTATAAATTATAAGGTATATAATCATGGTATAAATTAAAATCAGCCTAGTGTGGTATGTGAATAATGTAGATATTTTATCTGTTTCATTATTCAAACAACATTAATTTTTACTCAGCCATAATTTTACGATGAAAATAATATATTTATTTGTGAATTTAAGCTTTTTTAAACTCCCTATCTTTAAAAAAAAAAGAAAAAAGAAAAAAGAAAAAAAAACCCAAACTTATTTACATAGTATTTCTGGACGTTTTTCATTTGTGAAGGCACTCTAAATTCTTTAAGCTCACAGTCAAAAACATAAGTAGACATTAGGAAATTTTGGAATAACCAATAAGGATGAGAAGAATGATTCATAAAAATGAATTAGGTCCTCCTGGGGAGGACAGCAGAAGTTAGGATTTAGGAGGAACATAAGTCTGGGTATGGGAGAGACATTGCAGACTTGACCAGATAGTTCATATCTGTGCAGTTAGCTGAGCAGCAAAGAAGCAGGTAAAAACTGTGTGGGAGGCCTTATGGGATAGACAGATGGGGGCAGTGTGAAGTTTAACATAAGGCAGAAATTGAGTATATTTTACATAGTGAGAGCCTTAAATTTGATGCTAAACTGGATTCCTTCCCAGTAGATGGGATTCAGAGGAAGGTGTCACATACTTAATTCCATCATGGGAGATGATTAACATTTGCATTTAAGCTCTTTACTCTCAAAGGCTAGGGAGGAAGTGGACCAAGACACAAACAAACCAAAAACAAAATCCAAACCAGCAGAGCATAAATATCCTCATGGACTGAAATGCCTATTGTAAATGGTGCTGAAATAAATGAGTTTTGAAATCATTGAGAACAGTGGAGATACTTTGCATTTTTTTTTTAAATGAACTTTTCTTTTTCCAAATGGAGGTCATGGTTGTTCTGGTTGCTTATTTTATGTGTTGAATGTTGTTCAACTGCTACTGCTGCAGGTAAGATGACAGCAGTAGGGCAGTGAGGAAGTGGAAACTGTTAGGAGCTTGGTGCAGCCTTGCTGAAGAGGATTCTTAAGCATACTTTGTCTACGTAATAGCACACAGAGTGCCACCATAATGGCACTAAGACTACTTGACTACTAACTCAAGTTCTTGGATCCGTATAGGCTTGCTAGCACTGCACTATGCTCCACAGGCACCAAGCTAACTAGCACACGGCAACGTGAAGCTGTCTTTATGTCATGTGCTTGGAATTAGCTTGCTCTGAACTGTCTGGAGAAGACTGGACTTCTCTCCATGGCACTGGTAGACCTGGGTTCTGTTATTGGCCTTGGGCATCTTTATCACTGTACTGCAGCTTTCACACCACAATTATTATGCCTGATGCTGCCTTTCCTTAGGTGTGCTGGCACAAATCTGGGGATGTAGTCACTGTACCAGATGTATGTATAGAAATATTACTGTTGCTAAACACTATGGGAAATATTCCTGACTTTTGCCACGCTACACACCAAGTTTCTTAAAATCTTTAAGAGAAATAGATTTCTTTGTAAAAGTAGTATCATGTATCATAAATCACACTGTAATTGCAATTGACCTGAGACTCAATAACAGAGGCTGACCTGAACATTTATTTGAGCTGTTCTTGATTAAGGGGTGGGTCTGTTCAGTGAAACACCACAAGTGAGAATTTGCCATTTGTGTTTAGATGATTATTTTTATACTCTATTTCTTGACCTCTCAGCACTGTGTTTGGTGCTTGTGGTTGCTAAGCACTTTTTAGCTCCTTCTTTAAAAATCAGTTACAAGATACTGATGGATTTGAGACTATTCAAGAGCTGGCAGAGTGATTGTGGTTTTCTTTTTTTACTTGCGTTTCTCTTGCTGCTCAGCTGCTAAGACCACGACCTAGCTGATGCTGTAATACTTCTTCCTGTTTCTCCTTTGACCCATTGTTTTCAGAGTTTCCTTGGAGTCCTGCATGTGAACCACACATACTGCAGCTTGATGCCTCTGTGTATAGCTACTGGTTTTGCCCTTGCTCTACAGTTGACCTTGCAAGGTCTTCCTTTCACAGTAATGTTTGTATTTTATTCATTTTCAGGTTTGAAGGCTGCACTTCTGTAACGGTGTTTATCCCAAGAGCTGTTCACATGTGGGTAGCAATTACAATAAATTGATTTACAGCAAAGCAGAAAAACTGAGTGCATGCATGAACCTTACATGCATCTCCTCTGATTTGCAAAGGTATCTTTTATATGGTGCCAAAATTGGACCTATTTATTCCATCAGTTTCTCCTAAACATTTGTGTGACAGTGCAGAACAGAAACTTCTCACTACATTATGGATCTCTACTTGCAAACTGATTTTTGATTTTTAACATGTTGACTAAATGTTTGAATGAGAAGATGACAAGTATTAACTACATGAAGTTAGCCACAGTTTTTGAATTCAGCAGCAGAGGTTTGACATGGTGTAGTATCTAATTGCTGTTACTTCAATCACTAGATTCTCGTCATTAACTAGAAGCCATTCACTAGAAGCCATTTCTGCACTGCTAGAAATTACACATCTGTTGTCACACAGTTCTGTATAACTTTTTGACAATAGTGAGTGCTTTCTGAGCCGCTCTTCTTTTTGGGTGCATACCACTGGTCATTTATTGGACACATAAGAGATTTTATGTTAACCACCTATAAACACAGAAATTATGGCTCTGTATTATTGTTCTCGATTATCTTGGTTCTGAACTCTGGCTAAGAGCAGCTTAAAAAAGGAGCATATTTGCAAAAGTGTTTACAATTGACATATGTTTTTCTGGGATTTTTCTTGCATGTTGATCATCTTCCAGCCACTCGTGCCTCTTGAGAATAATAATTTTTGAAGAGGATATTTTGAGGTTCTAATAGACTACTTAGTAACATAGTTTTCTTTTTACAATGTTGTATTTTCATCTTCTGTACAGTAACTACTACCCGTTTTTATGGGTGTGGGGGCAAGCAGTACAGTAAGTATAGCTGAGGTGCTTTTTGTAACATATATGAATATCACAGATTTCTTCTTTTATAATTCTACTATTTCATAAAATACAACCACAAATTATTAAATTAGTTCTCAGCTTTCAAGGGGTTGCTTTATTTTAAGAAGTGTCTAATACCTCATTAGACTTCCTTTCATATCCTGCTATTTACTTTTTCACACCACTTGTATGAAATCAGAGTAAGAACTTAGGCATTCTGGAATTCCTCCTCCACAGAGGCTGGGCTTTGTAAGGAGTTCACATCAGTGCCTCAGCCCTTTGCTCCTTCAGGTTAATTTTTAGGTTATAACTTCGTATATCGTGTGCTTCTCTATTGCTACAGATATAGTGTTTTCTATTAAAAAAGTTCTGGTAGCTTGCTAGAAGAACAGTTTAAACTTACTTAGAAGGTAAATGTACGTTCTCTCTGCTTGAACTCTTTGATGGTTTTACTGAAAGCTCTTTTAGTAACTCTTTGCTCTTGCCTACCAAGTGACAAAATCTCCTAATGTCATAATCTTAATAGTACAAGATATTTTTCTGTTAGAGGCTAGTTGTCTTCATACTCTGTATATGAGTTACCAGAGATGGGCAGTCAGTCTGAAAGATATTGCCTGGTCATCTCGAAGTTCAAATGCTTAATTATTTTTGTGTATCATATAATGTATATCAAATACTGTGAAAAATCTGGAATTGTGTACACGGATTGAATTGTGTTATTTGAAGTACTCAAAATGCTTTCTTTTCAATTCTGTATGTCTAATTGCTTTTCTTGTGGTATAGTGGGACAGAAATACAGTCAAGTAACAGCTTGACAAAGATGCTTAGTGTGGTTTCCAAAATACTACAGCAAAACCTTGAATTCAAGTTTTCTCGAGAACAGCTAAAGGAGCATGTATGGGGTTAGTGAAGGACAATATCTGTATGTAGGAAGCAATGCAGAGCAGTAAGCAGTGAAAGGATAATGTTTCTTTGCTCTTAGGCTTTTTCAAGGCAGGTAAGTGGAAAAAGCTGAATAGTTAGGATGAATGGGTGAAAGTAGACTTCTAAAATAAATATATTATTTTTTTTGTCTCTTAAGGCACTGCTTTCACCTAGACCTCTCTTCCAAAATTTGAAATGAATGAAATCACTTTCACTGAATGGAAATAGAATAAAATTAGAAGTGCTATTAGAAGCCTTTGGGACAAGGAATTTTCACACGTGTTTTCTAATGAATGGCATTCTACAGCTGTATCTGTGTAATATTTTGTAGAGTGCTAGAAATCTGGGGTCTGTGGGCTTCATTCAAAATAGGTACTTGCATCACTGAAGAGTATTTTGAGAGACTCTGTTGAGAATAAGACTTTATTAACTCATTGAGGACATAATATTATTTTACATGCAATAATTTTCAGCTGCAGAATGCTTTTGTGTTATCTTACAAATCAGATTCAGCTAAAATAAGTACTATGGGTTTTGTAATTAGAACTATGTTTATCAGTTATGTAGCAATGATTTTGCTGCTGTGTTTGAGGGAGGGTCAGTCCCTTATATGCTGCTGATCAGGGAAGAGAATCTCCACTAGGAACTCCCCGGCCCCATCACAGCAGTGTAGGCACTGCATGCAGAAGCCCAGTGCAGAAATCTGTCTCAGTATGGAAGCACACAGCTGCCCGTGCAAATATACTTTGGAATCAATATAGAAATTATTTTAGAGAAGAAATTGAATGGTGACATCTGACTTTTTTTTTTTTTTTTTTTTTTTTTTTTTACTCTTTAAAATATTACGTGGTACATTTTTCTACTTTCCTTTAACTTAAAGAGGCAGGCTTTGATGAATGACAGGTCTTCATCTTTCTCTTGGGGAAGAAAGTAGCAAAATAGCAGCTTTGATTCACCTTTCTCTCGAGAGATGTTACAGAATATTTTGTAAGTTGCAATGTCATTTTTACATCAGTTGTATTTTCTTCTCTAGTGATCTTGGCACTTTTTTCCTTACATTTATGTTCTATCTTATGAAAATATGTAGGAGTCTTCAAAAAATTTGCTTAAATGTCCTGGAAGGCTGACCTTAGAAATGCTCACCTCAGACCAGAGACAATGAATTTGTCACACGAAGTGCAAATTTTGTGTTGCCTCCCCCAAGTCTTTTATTCTTACACGTGTGTAAGGCTCTATTTTGGCAGCTCACTGCAGGCAGGTGCAGAGTGCTGCTCCTGAGCACCCTTGCTCTGGGAGTCTGTGCAGACCCACTGGCATTTACATTCACATCCAGGTGCTGGTCTGAGGGGTTATAAATAATAGCTGGTTTTCTTCAACCCACAGTTTTCATTTCTATTGGACCCTAAAAGGAATGCAGTTTAGTCTGTGGAAAAGCTCAGTACCTTTTATAAATTAATTCTGCCACTGTTTTTCACACAAGTCTATTGTTTATTTTTCAGAAGCTTCAGAGTTTTATAAAAAGCAAAATGTTCAATGATTGGAAAAAAATAAATTGAAACGACACAATGACTCAGAGAAAATCTTCTTTTTTCCTGTCATTTTTTGGGAAAAAATTGCTAGCACAACCTTCAAAGTACCCATATTTCCCATATGTAAGATTACATGCAGTGTTTTTTTTTCCTGTTAGTATGGGTGTGTGCATGCATCCATGAACGGCAGATTTTTATCAAGAACAATGAGAAGAAGTGTACTTCTGAAAAGCTTAAGGACAGCAGAAGAGGATGGTTTTTTTTTTTTTTCTTTTAGGTTCTTTATTTATGTTCCTTCACAGCAAAAGGAAATGGAAAGCCTGTTTCTATATCTAATATGCCATTTATTTTAAATGATTTTTTTTCCTCTTGCTGCATTATTTTGGTTAAAGAAATCTGTACCAGTACAAAACTAATCTTACATTTGTAAATGAAGTTGAGTCTCTTTAGATTTTTTTATTATTAATATTGGTGTAGAAGGGCTTTTCTTTGTGCTAGGCTTACTTATTTGTAGTTAACATATATCTTGATTATGATTTCTGTGTTATTCTATAGGAAAAGTTCTGGAATTAATAAAATTGTATGTTTTCTTTCATTTAATTATGCTTGTTTAATTGGAAATGCCAATGCCTGGTCCATACCAGTCTTTATTTCAGAGCATAGTGTAGTTTTTCTGTGTGGCTGCAAGTTGAAGCAGCCCCTTTTAAATGAAATTCCTTAGTAACCGTGTTCGGCTCATATGTGGGAAGAACTTAAATCAGACCCAAAGACCCATACTGTGAGTTCTGTAACATTTTGTATCATTTTAAAGTCACTTAGATTTCTCTTATCATCCAGAGAGTTAAAGCATATCACATCTATTGCTGGTTTCCACAGAGAGTTAGATATATTCTGTATGCATGCGACAGCATTGAGATCATATGTTCTCTCACTTTTGGAATTTTTAAAAGCTTGATTGCAAATGGAATGTGGTGTTGTGGTTTTCCACTGACTTTAATTACTGGCCTAAGAGATGGCAATTGGGAAATATAACCCAAATATATCTACATATCTTTTGTCATTAGAATTTTGTTATGTGTTTGTGCTGCTGATAAACAGAACTGGGTGGCTTTCTTTGGCACAATCTATGCGTATGTGCACATACACATGACTGTAGCTCTCACTTTTGCTGTTTTATTGAGACTGCAGCCAAGTTTGGAAGGATACGCAAGCCTGGGAAAACTATGTGCTTCTGTACTTAAGCAATCTGCAGTCATTGATCAGGATGCAGGCTCTTTCAGTTTTACTGCAATGTAACTGATCTGTACCTCTTTCAGCCTCAGTTCCAGCAATTGTTATTCTTGATTTATGGCTCACTATGATGCTTGTTTGAATTGTACTTCTATAAAACTTTTCTCTGTTGCAGTTATTCTACTTATGAAGGGCAGTAGATGACATGTTGAATGAACAGTAATTTTTGAGGCATTTGCTTTGGTTGTCAGAAAAAAAACAACCACCAAAATTGCTTTGTTTTCTTTTTTTTTTTTTTTTTATCCAACAGAATTGTAACAGGACACTTAGCATCTTGTTAATCTAACAGCTTCATTGAGGCCAATGGAAATAACTCTTCAATAGCCACATTCCACTTACCTGCCCATTGCATAAACTGCCTTCTCAAACATGAGGTGAGCAGACTTTTTTCTCAACTACCTTGTGGTTTATGCTGAGATCACAGCATATTTTGGAAAATGGCTTACTTGACCTTTCAAGTTGATGTTATCCAGCCATACCAACAGTACTTCTATATTTGCTTTGCCTTTGTTTATGTGCTTAAAATCTGTTAGAAAAATCAGTCCGATTGCTGTTTCCTCATGGCAGTTAACAGTGCTGAGCCCAAACTTTGGCCTGACAGAAGCAGAATATGGAGTAAACAATGGTGGGAAGCATAGTATTTAGCTAAGTGTATGCAGTGGTCCACATACACGTTCCTTTTCATACTTACATGTTCCCAAGACCTGATTTTGGAACACCAAATTCTTTTAGGAATTAACTGTATTTTTGGTCCTCTTTGTACTTCAGGGACTGTCATAGCTCAGACTCCTGGTTTTTCAGATGTCTCTGCTGCAAAAATTCCTCCTAATCCTGAAGTAAGTAATGATGGAGGGAGGATACTTTAGCTGGCACCACAGGAAAAAAAAAACTTCTCTCCTCTCCTTTGTCTCTTGGGAATATGTCTGCTTTTGGCTAGTAGCCATGCACGGTGGAATGGGGCATTACATCTATCTCTGCTGGGCTGAACTCATGGCTTTAAGGTTTCTTTGGGTTTGTTTGGATTTGTTTTGAAAGACATGGATACAGCTATCTCAAATTTCCACTAAAATATGTTCATTTGGCCTTGCTTGTAATGAGCTGAATTTCATATTGCGTATACTGAACAGCCAGCTCGCTACACAGAATCTTAACAGCTTTAATAATTCCCCTAACCATCCAATTAGACTAATAATAAAGGCTTAATTACATATCCAGTTAATCATCAGATTTGTTCACTGAATGGCTTTAATTGGTAGATAGAGCTGTTACACAATTCCAGTTTGAAAGCTATCACACATTTTTGCTCACAGCTATATCCACCCAATTGTTTTTATGATTGAGACTTGACCAGCATTTATTAAAATCATAATAAGGCTCCAGAGCAAAGAAATATAACCACTAGTGCTGTTGCAGCACCCTTCCACTTCCTAGTGCCTGTATTCAAGCCAGGACCTCTCTTTACACTGCTTTGTACTGCGCGTGTTAAAGGAAGTCCAAATATCAAATGACTGCTTTACAGGTTTCCTAAAATGAAGCTGTTCTGTATTCTGCCCAGGTAGTTCCCTCAAAATGACTGTTAAAGACTCTGGGACCTGGAAGCCCCTTGGCTTTGTAGGATTCAATAATGCACCACCTAAGCCATTTTGAAATAGATACTTCAGTAGCCCTGAGTCTTTTCTTATTATGGAAACATATAAATTGGCTCATCCTGTAAAACCCTTCAGTTTTAAAAATGTAAAATCTAATTGCCTTATGGACATTCAAAGAATGGAGGCGCTTCTCTAGGGAGATTTTGCACTGAACCAAAAGATGACAGAACTAGTTACTGATTAAAAAGAAAAGAAGAGTTAACCTCTTGATGCCAGTTGTCAGGATTTCCCCCACATATATTTCTGCCTGGTTTAATTGCTGCTGTATTTCTACAGCACATGGATCATAATTCATTTTCTTTAGGGTTGAATGGGGTAACTGGCTACAGAAACCTCATTGTCCCAGTCATTTTCCCTTCATGCTTTCGAATTGAATGCCCTGTCAAATTGCAAAATAATTCCCTTCATTTAATAAGCCTTCTAGTATCCTGAGTTCACAAGACTCATATTCAGTGTTGAGCTTTAGCTGGCAATATTGACTTGCTATATTTTATGAAGGTAGGATATGAAACCACCTTAGGTGGGGAGAGGAGCCTTCTGGAATGTCAAGAATAATTATTTTGCCTTTGCATAAATAATCCTTTATCAGAGGATAAGAAATGGTGCTATTTTTAGCAGGCTTTACTCCCTAGGGAAGTAAATGACACATAAAAATGAACTTTCAAAGTGTTGGTCTATAGAAAAAGGAGCAGTGTGTGACAAGAAAAAAAAAAAGTGAATTTCTGTGAATTAGTATAACTCATTATTCGTGGCATACACACTTGCTGCCTTACATTCCCTGCACTGTAGTTGGAATATAAAATAAAACCTTGGCAGCCCTCTCCCCAGCCCTCGGTGGCAGCCGCTCTGATTGGAAGCCACCTACAGAATGGCAGAGAGCATCAAGGAGCTGGAAGCTGGGAAACATGCAGAGCAACCGTTTCTTAAAGTGCATGTCACAAGTTACCTTTAAATATATTTAAGTGACTTAGGTTTAAAAGGCACCTCAGTTCCCCCTTAAAATTCATTTAAAAACGTGGGGGGAAAAAGTACTGATCAATAGCACTCTGACAAACTGTGATTCTATGGCTGGGTCCTTTACAGAATAGAATAAAAGATTTCAAAAAATGCACAGATGCCAAACCTCAAGTATGAGAAATTATCCTTCTTCAGTAGTTTTATCTTTAGCATCCTTCATTTCTGACTGGTGTAGGAGCAACAGATTGTTTAGTATGCATATCGCGCACAAAGATTGAACAATACTAGTGAGAGTGTAGCACGTAATATTTCTATTAACTTCTCTTCAGACAGTTGACATGGCTCTTCACAATGTACATGTGTTCGTGATACAAATCTAATAATTTTTATGATCAGTGTTGGAAAAAAATCAAGGTCCTACCCATCAAACCCTGAGGGCCTCAGGTAGCATTACGCAATGTATGTGGTGTATAACGCACAGTAGCATTTAGGTGGCACCAAAGCTAAAAGCTGCAGATCTTAGAAGCCTATGGTGAATTGACTACAATGGGCTCCAGCTCACTCTGCACCACCTTACCTTGCATCTCAGTGCATATCCCTCCCTGAACTGGAATGAGAGCTAGCCTGGTGTGTCCTTATACAGAGGACAGGAAAAGGGCTCCTGAGCAGAGCCTATCCATTCCTTGTGTGCCTTCAAATGCCCAAGGAGTCTCTTGTGAGTGCAGTGTTTGGTGTTTTCTGCCTGTAGATTTTCCTCCTGGCTGTCTTCTGAGATGTCTCCCTAACAAAGCATGTCTTTCATTGTGAGAGTGGTGTAAGTAAAGAGAATTTCTTTATGACTGGGGAATTCTTTCTAGCATCTCAATGTTTTTTTGCACTACTCTGTTTCATAACTACTGTTATTGAAAGAAACTCAATACTCTTTCCTTCTATTCCAGTTCTTTCATTGGGGAAAGTCAGCAGTGCTTTCTGAACTCCTGGACCTTCATCATCATTTTCAGACAAAATTTAGTCTGCTGAATTTCTAAAGGCTTTTTAAAAATCAAGATCCTGATTATTGGTAGCTCTCTGATTATTGGAGATAATGATATTGCCATACCACGCTTATGCTAACAATTTCAAAACCAGGCTGAGATTCCTTTATCAGTATCTCCCATTATGCAGTGCAACACTTTGCTTACAACAATATCAGGAATCTTCCTAGTTTACAATGGTTCATTAAGTGCATACAATTAAGCATCTGTTCAAACTGAAATGTTAAACTTTATGGCATTTGGGTTGACAGTCAAGTGTGTTTAATACAGATGCCACATTTCAGTACTTGATTTTTAACATTTTATTATGTGGCCTCTAAGTCAGCTTTTTCTGCCTTATTTTTTTTCTTACCCTTGCAGATTCTTCCTAGAAAGAAACACTACAGCTTGTTTTACTTCTCCAAAACAACTCACAACTCTGCCCTGGCCTGGCTGTGTGACCTGTCATTTTTTTGTTTACCTCTTTTGCAAATGATATGAGCCTTGATATCTTTTAATATTCATACTTTACATCAAAATTTTTTCTATTTCCCCATTTACTCAGCTCCATTCAAAACTCTTCTATTTTTTTTTCACTCACTAGTGCAGTAATTAGTTCTTAGAAAGCTCCTAGACCTGCAAACTGTACCCTGGCTAAGTGAAGTTGTCTTGTGATCCTATTACTGTGATTCTTACTCTTCTCAGCATGCATCCCTCTCCCTTCCTGTTGCTCGTCATGGTCTTGTCAAACATTCAAATGTAAGCTCTTCGGGAAGGGCTTTATGTTTTAATGTTTCTTCGTAGATTCTGATGCACTGTAAGAATAAATGAATACTCAAGTTCAGTCTGCTAAAATTTATTTGATATGCCAAAGCTCTACTCCTGTGCTTTGGATCCAGCAGAATGAGCAAACTCAGTTTTTGATTTTTCAATGTCCAATGGCCTTAACTGCCAAATTATGAATGCAATTTACAACTGTCGTGGCAGTGGTCTAACCTTTTCTTGGTGCTAACCTTACTGAAGAGCTGTTACAGCAGAAGATAACCTGTTTTCAGATGCTTTTGAGTTGTAAGACTTGCACTGAAGGACACAGATAGAACCGAAAATGGCTGTTTGGATCTGGCCTTATCCAACAAGACTTTCAGCTTTTCAACACAGAAATAATGTCTTGGTTTAGGCTATGCAAGCATGAAGCGCAGATTTGTGACAGACTACATGAAACTTAGAATGCCGACTGGGACCATTTGTAAGATTAAAGAAGCTGTGGTTTCAGTGCGAAGGCTAAAGAACATGTTCGTATGTTATGGAAAACTGGAGTAATTTCATCTGACACTCCAATAACACAACAAAAACTGGATTTTGAATAGGTATTATTAGTACTGTGCAAATTTGGTGTGCGAAAGAAGAGAGGAATGGAAACTTTAAATATGGTATTGCCTTCTGATATCAATGTGCTACTGCTGGATACAGTGCTTAAAGTCAGAACTGGGGTATAAAATGAAGCAGTTTAGACAAGTGAATTCATCCTGTTTCTGAAGTTGCTTGATAGCAGCTGCTTTGCTGCTAGTTCTGGTTTAAAATATATAAATGAATAAGTACTGTTTGTGGTTGGCTATCTCTGTCTGCTACTGTATTGACTGCAGAGTAACTTCATTTACCCTCCCCCAAATCCATTCTAATATGAAAGTATTAAATAACAAAATCGTTCGTAGATTGTCACTTAAACTTTTAACCCTTTCTGCCTATGCTGGGGAG